TATTGCAGTGTACTAAAAATCGATCTCCGATGTGGAAACGGTCTAAAATCTCTACGATTTGGTGGTATGTAATATACATCACTGCAACAGAGCCTCTCATGTGAACTTATTTTGGACACTCCATCTTTTCTTTTTGGGCAAATTACAAGTACCTCACGAGATAAGGTCTAAGTACGAAAATACCCTTCTTGTTTGCATAATTACGAGCACCCCAAAAACTAAAGGGCTGCAAAAAAACCTTAATAGTTGTCTAAAATATATCTCTGTTCAAATAATTAAAGTGAACATAAAAAAATGTCTTATATTCAAATTTTTGATTTTCTTACATTTGGTCCCTCGTGCAATATAAAACCTTACACAAAACTCCTTCGGACAAAAAAAAAAAAAAAAAAAAGCTAGTTAACAGTAAGCAAATAACAGTTGTAAACAAATTATAAGAAAATAATTAGAATTAATTTACAAACCTTACAATTAGACTCTTAAAGGTATTCTGGTCATTACGAAACAGATATTTCATGGAATCTATTTGATTATGTTATTGTTAACTTTGTGAGGGTAAATTCGTTAGCCGGAGAATACCGTATGGTGGTGCTCGTTATTACAAATAATAAGGGCTTTCTCGTAATTAATATTTACTTCAGGAGTCTTTGTAATTTTAATTTTTTTTGAGTAAATTTGAGTTTATTACAAGGAGAAGTAGGCGAGGGGGGACTCGAACCCTAGAACTTTACCCTGTAAGTAAGGCTAAGTACGAACTCTCCCAACGATGGTTGATAGGAGTCCTTGTAATTTGCCATTTCTTGTTTATTCATTTTGTTTCCTCTAGAAAAAAAAGACACTTAATTTGTGGCCACCAATTTTTTTCTAACATATAGTGTTTGTAGTTTTTATTGATTGGAATAAAACCGCGCAAACAAAATCGTTACGTGGAATTTTGAAAATTTTGCGCCTAGTTTATTAATTATCAAAGATACATTTATATTCCCTAAGGAATGACCTAGCAATTGGAGTAGGTAAACTTGTATAAATTGATCGAAGTTCGAATCCCTTCCCTAACGGTCGTTAGGTCGAACTTGTCACACGTAGTTAGCCTAGTGTGATTTATATCTCTCGTATGATTTGCAAGTTATTATACGATAGTGTTTGTTTACCCAGACATGCTTTCTAATTCTATAATAGGTTTATCTAAAAGATTCGTAATATAACTGGGAAGACGTTTTAAATACCACACATGGGTTACCGGACATGCGAGTTTAATGAAGCCCATTTGATCTCTTCGTATCTGAGAATCAACAAATTCGACCCTACATTGTTCCCAAAATTTTGGGTCTTTTTTTTCTTTTTCTTTTTTTTGTCTCTAATTACTTGATAATTTCCACAAGCACAAAAATTCTACTTTTCATAAACCCAAAAATTCTTTCACAAAATAACATCTTTTTTCCGGTTTATTGGTTTTGTATTGAAAAGTATAGGGTGGTTTATCTCTTTCGTATTGTTTGTAGCTTATTATACGAGAGTGTAGGTTAACCCAGTGCACCTAGGGGTGGAAATTGGAACGGAATTTCGAATTCTGCCAATTTCGATCCGAAAATATCCGAATTTAGAAGCCTTTTTCTCATTCCGATTTCCGATTTTTCCGATTATTTTTGGAACGGAATTGAAATTACATATAAAATTGTTGGAAATTCCGATTTCCAATCCGATTTTATTTCCAAAATATATAATATTATATATATTTTTCTTATTTTTATAATATAATTTATGATATATATTATATAAAAAATATAAATACCGATTAGGCCCAAGCAAGAGCCTAATTGTCTTGACTCTTGACTTAAGATTTGATGAATTGTAAAGAACTTTGATTTTTTTTTTTTTTCGATTGGTTTTTTGAATTGTTATTCTATTTATGTTTTGCAAGAACTATGTTAACTTTTTCTTTTTTCTTTAAAACTTTTTTGCTGGAACTATGTTTCCTTTGTTAAATTGATTATGTTGTTTTTACAAGTGTTTACATTTCATCTTATTGACTTTATTTTGGATTCTTGCATTTTGCTTAAAAATTACGAAAATATTAGGGAAAAAAAATCTAAAAATTTCCATTATTTCCGATTTTGGAACACAAAATTAAGAATTAATGCAATTTCTGAAAATTCCAAAAATTCCGAAATTCCGCTGATTCCGAAGTATTCCGAAATTGGAATGGATTTTGAAATTTCAATTTTTTTAGAACGGAAATTGAAACATATTTTTAACTTCCGAAAAAAATTGAAAAATTTCCAAAAAAGACATTTACAATGCACTCCGTCCGATTTCCACCCTTATGTCACCTATATAGTTAGTTGGGTGAGGGTTTTTTTTATTACCCAAAAAAAGAGAGATAAATTTATGATCTTCAATGCCATAATTGTTGTTGTTATTATATTGTGGTTAAACAATTAAATTAATTATTTACCCAGCAATTTCTAAAAACCCTATCATAACTAATCAAATGTCTACTTATATATGGCTTAATTCCACTTTGCACAGGTGAAAAATACGATTTTGGCACTTTGCATCGTCGAAAAATAATAATAGCACTTTGCACCTTCAAATTATTCACAATGCATCCTAAATTGAATGATTAAGGCAATTTCATTTTTCATTGGTGTTTTTATTTTCGCGGTGAAAAATAAAATAAAAATTTGTTATTTTCTTGAACCTCCAACCTAATTTCGAGCGGACAAAGTGCGAAAAAATTAAAACTACACGGATTATTTGAAAAAACTATATTTTTGTACAAAAAAATGAAATAAGCTTTTATCACTAAATTACTCGATTGATGGATCTTTTGTTCTAGCTGGTTGAAAATATTAGGTAAAAAATTTGGAAGAAAATATGATTTTCAGATAACTTGATAACGGAATAGCTGAATGATTTTTTTTTCTCAAAATATTTTATTTTGATAAAAAAATATATATAACTTTTAAATATGTTGATGAAATGTATTTTTATTTGTGCACTTTATAGTTTCAAAATGATTGATGAATAAAAAATTATTTGACATTTGGTATCCTAAAAAATATCACTAAAAATATTAAATTACGTTTTTTAGCTTTAAAAGTTCATTTGGGATGTGATTTATTGTATTTTAAGGGTGCAAAGTGCTATTAATTTATTTTGAGGGTGCCAAGTACCAAAATTATATGTTTCAAGGATGCAAAGTGGAATTAAACGATCTATAAATCTATAAATATAATGTATTCTTTGATAGGTTTTCTTTATAAGCTGACTTTTACTAGATGATATAGATACAATTCACAAGTTATATTTTAATATAATGAGTTGGATTAATATAGCAGAAAATAATCATGGAATCCTTCTTGAGATTTAGGTTTTGATACTATATTAACAATTTGCACAATACAAGAAAAAAGATGCTAACAATTCTCTTATTAAAAAAAAGAAAAAAAAGAAAAAAAGATGCTAATAATTATGTCCTTGTAAATTAATGACTTGCAGAGAGCCAGAATCTGCTATGTCCAATGCACTTCTGCAGTTCTGCCACCATTAAACTAATAATCTATTTTTTTCTTTTTTTAATTGAATTTCCCTTGTGCTGATTATCTATTCACAGTTCTATCTTTAAAAACATAAAATTAATTATAATAAAAATTCAGTGTGCAATGCAACATAGTAAATGAGTTTACCTCCCACCTATACCAGACATTTCTACAATGTCATTATTTTTGTTGGAAAAACAGTGTAATTTGTTTCGCACCATTTTCATGAATTATACACCAAATAATAGTAAAATAATAATATTTCACCATTTTATTATTTATAAATAATAGATTTGGTTTGGTCTCCCATGACATTTCACCAAATATATCACATAATTATAAATTAAATGTTAATTGTAAATCAGAATTTTGGCCTCTCTTTCTTTTTTTTTTTTTTGAAATATTGATTATAGATCTGATTTGAAGTACTAATTTTACAATTGTGTTGTTTCCACTTTCAAAGTATCTTAATTCACCACAAAAAAATATATAAAATATCATAAATATCTCTCGAATTTCTAATTCACCACCCTTCTTTATATTCGCTTAATCCGCATGTGTTCTAGGTTACCTCTATTTTTTTTTCAATGAAATACTTATTACAAGATATTTAAACTTCCACATCAGATGACCCTACAAATTGTATAACATTTTTTTTAGGAAACAAAATTATATTAAGCCAAACTGGCCAATTTTGGAGGAAGTTCGGGACCTTTCATACAAGGACTCTTAATTTACTTCTCCAAGAACGTGAATTCCTACTATTTTTTTATTTTATTTTTGACATTTGGTGGTTTTCTCCGACGGACACATTTCTAATTTTATTGACTGTGTGTGCTTTAAAATTATGATAAATTTCAAAAAAAAAAAGAAACTATTGAAACATGAATGAAAAGAAACTTAAATTATTATACATGTAATAAAATCACGTATAAACTTAATCTCATAACTTATTGCATAAAACATTACAACATAAATTAATCTTGAAAACATTACAATATTTTTTGGGGCCATATAATTTATTGTTTAAACATATAATTTATTTTGGCCAAACAAATTTATATTTAATTCAAAGACTTTAATAATAATAATAATAATTATTATTATTATTATTATTATTATTATTATTATTATTATTATTATTATTATAATAATAATAATAATAATAATAATAATAATAATTATAACAACAACAACAACAACGACAATAATAATATTAACAACAACAACAACAATAATAATAATATAACAATCGTAATTATGTATGGGTTTCGATTCGATCATCGGGTCCAATTTCCTTATGGGATTTTCGTAATTACACAAACACGAGAAATATTTTTGTAATTAAGTTTTACCTCAGTGAATTTCTCGTAATTTGCCCTCCAAACTATAGGACAAAAATAAATAAAAAACAGGAAAATGAAATTAATAAAATAGTGAATCCCAGAACAAGGGAATGAGATTTATATATGTTTATATAATCAAAAAGTAAAAATAAAAAAATAAAATAAAATAAAAAATTTACATATGTTTGTTATACATGCTCCTTGGCTTATATTGTACAGAGCATCATGTGAATTTTCCTTCACACACTCAACTATGTGAAAAACTACACACCTGGTAACAACAGCATCAATGGCGACGAAACCAAGAACCGTCACCTTCCTGCATTTCCTCTTCCTCGCAATTTCCTTACAACCCCATTACTCAAACCAGCTGCAGCAATCCCAGTACGAAACCCTCGCGAGAATCAAGCAGCAGCTCAACTTCCCACAAGAGCTCACCACCTGGACCGACAACGCCGACTTCTGCAACCACGCGCCGTCGCAGATCCTCACCCTCGTCTGCTACGAAGACAACATCACCCAGCTCCACCTCACCGGCGACAACCAACACCGGTTCCCCCATTTCAGCGACGACTTCTCGACAAACTCCTTCTTCTCCAACATCGCCGCCCTCCCAAACCTGAAAGTTTTGTCGCTAGTTTCGTTAGGGCTGAATGGCCCTCTGCCTCCGTCCGTCGCTAATTTTTCGTCGCTGGAAATACTGAACGTGAGCTCCAACTCATTCAACGGCTCGATCCCGACGGAAATTTCGTCGCTAAAAAACCTCCAAACGCTGATACTCGACGACAATGGCTTCACCGGCGAACTCCCCGGCTGGCTTTCTTCTTCTCTTCCGTCGCTGAGTGTTTTGAGCATCAAGAACAACTCACTCGCCGGTTCTTTTCCGTACGGATTATCGGCTATGGCGAATCTTCGAACACTTGTTCTCTCTGCAAATAATCTCACCGGACAAGTGCCGGAGCTTCGTAACTTAACGAATCTTCAGATTCTTGATTTGGAAGACAACAACCTCGGACCTCAGTTTCCTAGTTTGCCGACAAAGCTGGTTTCCTTAGTCCTGAAAAACAACAAGTTCCATTCCGTAGTATCCCATGAACTGAGCTCCTGCTACCAGCTTCAGAAGCTGGACCTCTCGTCGAACGAGCTCGTCGGCCCGTTTCCGTATTCGCTCCTGTCGCTAAATTCCCTCACTTACTTAAACATCGGTGGCAACAAATTCAGCGGGAAGCTCTCAAAACAGAGCATCTCTTGCAGTGCACAGCTAGTGTTTGTGAATATGTCCGAGAATCGTTTGACCGGCGATTTGCCCGATTGTCTCACATCATCCGATGGAGGGATCGTCTCTATGTACGATGGCAATTGTTTTTCGAGTCGATACGGAAACCAGCACCCTTTGTCTTACTGTCATAGTGAAGCTCTTGCTGTGGGGATTTCGCCGAAGAAAACGGAGGAGAAAAGGGCGTCGTCGAACGGTAAAGCGGTTCTTGCTTCGAGTATGGTTGGAGGGGTTGTTGGGGCGGTTGCGCTTTTCGGGCTTGCATTCATATTCGTGAAGAGGGAATATACGAAACAGAATCAGCTGATTGTTGGTAAAGTTCCGCTCACGAGATTGATAGTCGATAAGGCCTCGCCTTCGTACACACTTCAGCTGCTCAAGGATGCTAGTAAGAACTTTTTTTTTTTTTGTCGATTTTTTTTCTTTCTAATTTGCAACGGCTAATTTTAGTAACTCGACCTTTTCTTTCTTTATTTATTTTTTATTATTGCGAAGAAACGTATTCTTGAAGTGGTGGATTAGAATGTGTGTAGTAATTAAGTGCAGCAATTCAAATCTAATTTGTTGATTTTTTGTCGATTTTTCTAATTTGGATTGGCTAATTGTCGTCGTTGTTTATTTAGTAACTCAACCTCCTCCCGTCTTTTTATTTTATTTTTGTTGCGAAAAAAACGTGTTCTTGAAATGGTGAACTAGAAGTTATATAGTAATTCGAATTTCATTTGTTCGACAGGGTATATATCAGAAACGATGAAAATGGGAGCACTTGGAATTCCACCTTATAGAACCTTCGTTCTCGATGAAATTAAGGAGGCGACTAATAACTTCAATCATTCGAATCTTATCGGTGAAGGTTCTAATGGACAGGTATCATCTATACATACATCATTCTCGCATCAATCGGAAAAAAAAAAAAAAAAAAAACTTGCATTACGAACTTGTTCGAACAATAAGAAATAAGGCCGTTTTTCTCTTACCGTTTTTTTTTATAACGAAATCGAACAGGTGTACAAAGGATGGCTGACAGACGGAACAGTTGTCGCCATAACAAGCTTGAAAATGAGAAGACGACACGGAATCCACACTTACACTAACCAACTCGAGTTGATTTCAAAACTTCGGCATTGTCATCTCGTCAGTGCAATTGGCCACTGCTTTGAGTGCTTTCAAGACGATTCGTCGTGTGTTAGTCGATTTTTTCATGTCTTCGAGTACGTGCCAAACGGGACCCTCCGCTCGTTTATATCAGGTACATGCGATTTATGACTTTTCAAGACATCATTTTTTTTTTGTTTTTTTTTACCGATATTTATATAATTAAAAAAACAGATGGAAAATCGGGACAGAAGTTTACGTGGACACAAAGAATAGCAGCTGGCATTGGAATAGCAAAGGGTGTCCAGTTTCTTCATAACGGAATAATACCTGGAATATACTCTAATCGTCTGAAAATTACGGATATTCTGCTTGACCATAATCTCCTCGTCAAAATTAGCAAATACAATGTACCTCTGCTGACGGAGAATAGAAATTCGGTAAGTGTTTCTAATCAACGGGGATTAGTGTCTTGATTATCTTGTTTCATTTTACATGACAAAATATCGAATATATGTGCTATCGACTGAGGTTTGAAGTTCTTGTGACTTTGTTTAGAACGAGATGCAAATTCTATTACGCGGATCGAAGGAAAAATTTGGATCGATGTAAGTGCTTTTCTTCGTAATTAGTCTATTGATTACTCTCTACTTCATTGGTCATAAAAAATTATTATTATTTTTTTTATTTTTTTCGAATGTATTGTCGTTCGGTTTTCCTTAACTTGCACATGGTATTTACAATCAAATATTCATATTCGTGTCACTTTTTCTTAATTACCCTTTACGGGGTCCAAATAATTGTGTAGAATGGTAAACGTAACGAACTATATACTAGTCGCAGTTTTAAGACAATATACGATATTTGTGTCCTAACATATACTCTCTCTGTTTCACAATGACTGTTTCTTTTAAAAAAAAAAATTTCATATTATCTGTCACTTTAAATTTTCCATACTACATTAAATGCATTTTTTTTTCCTGTTTTAACCTTACATATTTAAATGATCAGGGTTATTTTAGTCTTCCTAATGTATTTTTTTTTTCCTAAAATCAAGACACATTTATTGAGATTTTTAATACTTGTGCAAAGCTAAAAACGACAGTTAATTAGGAACTGAGGGGGTATCTTTCATGAACCTCGGCAAGTATTTTTGTTTCTGCAAATAAACTTTTTTTTCATTTTTTTCTTTTGGTATTGTACGCAGGCTGAGTTGTGAGGAGAAAAACGATATCTACGACTTCGGAGTAATTTTACTCGAAATCATTGTCGGAAGGACAATCATCTCTTCGAACGACGTTAACGTGTCCAAAGATATTGTAAGCATATTAATCAATAATTCCTCAATACATACTAAACACTTTTGTTAAACATTGTATATTACTATACTTATAACATGTACGTATATATGTATCTATATGTTCTTGGACAGCTGTCAGTGAGCCTAGCAGCAGATAGTATAGCTCGACGGAGTATAATAGATCCGGCGGTACACAAGGAATGCTCGGACGATTCACTAAAGACTCTAATAGAGCTCTGCTTAAGATGTCTGTCGAACGAGCCTTCCGAGAGGCCTTCGATCGAAGATGTGATATGGAACTTGCAGTTTGCTGCTCAGGTTCAGGACACGTGGCATCTAGGCTCCTCCAGTAATGGAAACTCTCCGGTTCATGCAGTTTGACTTGTACAATTAATTTTGATCATAATAATTGTATTACATTAGACTATGTTATAAAATTGCAATGGATGTGTATATATATGGATGGTTTATGTTTTCTTTTTGCCGCTGAATGTCGTATATGTTTTTTGTTGTCATGATTTAAGTTCTTTTAGAGTTTATACATATATATATATAATGTATTTAAAATATGGGGAAATTTGCTAGCTAGACACCCCTAATTTTGAACTTATATAGGGTAGAGATCCTAGTTACTAGATAAATATAGGCATATGTTCTTTGACCAAAAAAATAATATAAATAAAATAAAGAAAACAAATCTCATATATCATTCATTCTCTCTCTCTCCAATCTCACGTTTCTCTCAGCTTATATTAAATCCTCAATATCTCTATGTATCTCATTCATGCGTCTCTCTCTCTCTTGTTCTTCTATGTTTTTCTTTTCTTTTTCTTTGTTTTTTTTTCTTATGAAGAAATATTATAGAGAAGGAAAATAAAAAAAATAAAAAAAAGATTATGAGATGATTTCTTGGTGAAATAATTAAAGAGGACAACAAACATTCCCCTCCAAAAAAAAAAATTCAGAAATTCAAAGCCCTAGCCAAAATTGGCATTGAGTTTTCCGTATGTAGAACCTTCATCGTTTGTTGTTAGCAATTTATGTTTACAGGTTAACTTCGTTTGTTGTTTGCAGAATTGCGTTGGGTGTTGAGATTCGATTCCTCCGGTTTACAATGTGTAAGGTATGTATTAAGTTACATTTTTACAAACACTTCGTTTAATGTTTTTGTTGTTTGCAACATGTTCCATAAACAATTTTTTTGTTAATGTTTTTTAATGATGCTGATTTTTTTTTTCAGTTTGCTGTTTGCATTGATGAAGTCATCAATAGTTTATTCCTTGCAATTCAACATAGCAAGTTCTGCTGATTTTTTTGCAGTTTGATGTTTGCATTTGGCGAAGTAATAGGTAGTTTTTTGTTTGAAATTCAATAATGCAAATTCTGGAGAAAAAAAATTCAGTTTGTGGTTTGCATGTGGCGAAATCATATGTATTTTGTTGTTTGCAATTCAATAATACAAATTCTAATTTTCAGTTTGCTATTTGCGGTTAACAGAGTGAGTCGGAGTCCACAGAGTCATAGGCGGTGGTGCAGCGGTGGTGCAGCGGCGGTGGCGTTTTTAGAGTATGAGTTTGTAAAATAAATAATATTTTTTTTTAACAAGTTAATTTAATTTTTTAGTTAATATTTGGAAGAAAGATGTTTGGGAATTTGTTTTGATATAGAATTTTTTTGGGATTTGATTTGATTTGACTTAAGGGTATTTTTGACTTAATATATATTATTAATTGGGTGTAAATTAGGGCCGGACGCCCCATTTTTTGTGAGGAAAACGGATGCCATACATCTGGTGACATGTGGTGAATATTTATCTAATTTCAAGTGAATAGATAATTTTATCTCTTCCAATCGTGGCAGTTGAAAGAACCAAATTATGAGTATTACTTTAGTTTTCTCTATGGTATTTGTTTACATTACTCTTTGCATATTTTTTTTTTCTTTTCTTTTATTTTTCTTCAAATAAAATTAAAATTTCCCTTATAATACATCAACTTAAATTTACATGTTATTTAGCAAATAATATTATATTTTGTAGTCAATGAATTCTTTAACTTATTTGGAAAAAAAAAAAATTCTTTTGAATCATAAGTAATTTCATGTTAAGTAGATAAATAATATATAATAGAATTTATATGCATTTATTTTGGGTCTTGAGAATCAATTCTCAATACATGTAAGATTGAATTAAGATGTGTTGTAAAAGGAATTTTTTTATTTAAAGTAAAAGAAAAAAACGAAAATCAAGAAGTAAAAGATTGAAGTTATAATTGCCCATTCTAGGAGAGAGGAGAGAACAAATCATATTCCATTAAAAATCCACATGTCATGATACTAGTGGTGTCCATTTTTATTAGTAAAACGGAGCGTCCGTTTTTAATTAAATTCCGTATTAATTTATTAAAATATGGAAACTTTGACTTGGATTTATACATATAAATTATAATATGGAGGGACCTATAGAAAATTGCCCCTTAAAATATTTTGTTTTTCCTTCTCAGATATTCATATTCAAAACATTTATTCACTAATATATGTGATTGAGAAGTAGGGGGTTCACTCGGTCGGTAAATCGACCGAACCGTACTGAATCGAAAATTTGGTACGTGCCAAATACGGAACCAAAAATCCGGTTCGGTATTTGGTAAAAAAAAAATTCGGTATTCGGTATGGTATATGGTATTGATGCCTGATATACCGTACTCGTACCTAATACAGAAATATTTAATAGATATATATTTTATTCTTTGATTTTAAATCCTTTAAGGTTATAACAATTTATAAAATACTTATAGATTGATTTTTTTTTTCATTATTTACAAATTAGCCCCTATTCATAATTACTTTTTGTTTTCACGGCTGACTATTGAAATTTGAATGTCAAATTCGAGAATTAATTAGTTTAAATATTTTTTTTACGTTTTTTAAAATAAGAAAACATATTTTCGGTTTTACCGTACCAGACAAAAAAAACCGAATTAATTCATTATAAAAAGGGTATAAAGTTTTGAAGTACCGAAATTTCGATATACCAAAATTCATGTACGGATCTTTACCGAACAATCACCTCTACACATGAGTCTTGCCGTCAAATATATGCCAATAAGACGAATAACTAAAGGCTCGTCAAAAAAAAAAAAAGACGAATAACTAAAGGAAACTAAAATTAGGAGTTTTTGAACTATATTTTTTTTAGGTATAGTTGGGGAGTATATAATAATTAGTAAATGTTAGATAAATTATGATTATTCCTGTGGCGTTTGGTCTGATTGTAAATACTAGACCTCTTGCTTAAAAAGTTATACTTATTTTCATCGAACTAGCAAGTATATGTAAAAAACTTGAAGAAATTCACGAAATATTTACATTATCCCTAATTCAAAGACGATTTGGTTCACTGACGTTCAAGTCAGTTCTATACGAGAGGAGAATTCAAGAGGCTATTCAGGAAATATGAATTGCGTATCTTTAATTATTGAGCTTTTGAGGTATTTATATGGAGAATATATTCTCATGGGTTTGAGCCTCTTAATTCGGGCCAACATGGGTATGACTGCTTAGAATGTGGCCAACTTATTAGGCTTAACCAACTTACATCTTAGCTAACTCCAGCTTGTATTATTGACGTGAGCCGACTTGGGTTTGATTTATGTGCCTTTATGGATTGTCGATATGTGCCTTTGGATTTGGAGGAATCATAAGCCTTTATTCTCGATCGCGTCTCGAGTAGCAGGAATTGATGGAGATTGGTTAGTGCGTGTAGTGATGTTTGGGAGCTTTGTGATTTGGTCAGGCGATTTGACGGCTCCTGGTGGAAGTAGCTTGGTGATTAGTAGAAATCGTTGTAGGACGTGTTCCGATAGCCATTGACAAGTTGGTAGCTTGTGAGACGGTGAATCGCTCAATAATGAGTAGAAACAGTGGTTACATGCCATTGACAAATAGGTCACTCGTGAGACCATGGGCGGCTCTATGATCAGTAGAAATCGCGGTTAACGGCTTGCCCTGCCATTCTCAAGTAGGGAGCTCTTGAGTCCGTGAGCGGCTCAACGATTAGTAGACGTATCGGTTGATGACTCTTCATGTCATTGATAAGTAGACAACTTGTGAGACTGTTGGCGGCTCAATAAGTAGTAGAAATGAGAGTTGGCGGCTTGCGTTGCCATAGGCATATAGGGGACCCGGGAAGTCATGGGCGGCTCTACGATTAGTAGAAATATCGATTGATGGATCACAAGCTCGTCTGACCGTGAGAGGCTCAAGGATTAGTATAAATGTCGATGGATGGCTCGCCATGCTATTTGAAATTTTATGACTCAACGATTGGTGTTAGACGATCCGCGCCACATTATTTTAAAGTTGGCGGCTCTTGAGGAGTCGTGCATCTACGTGTAATTCGTGATTTGATCAACGGTTGATGTTGAGCGCATGTATAGGAAGGCCATGGGGTGACGCACAATAATAGAGGGTCGTGCATTTGTACTGGTAACCGACGGGTATTGTGGATTGTTGATCTTTGGAGGGTGGCTTGCGAGCGCCAAGTCCTCGATGGAGTAGAAATGAGAGTTGACGGCTCAATAAGTAGTAGAAATGAGAGTTGGCGGCTTGCGTTGCCATGGGCATATAGGGGACCCAGGAAGTCATGGGCGGCTCTACGATTAATAGAAATATCGATTGATGGATCACAGGCTCGTCTGACCGTGAGAGGCTCAAGGATTAGTATAAATGTCGATGGATGGCTCGCCATGCTATTTGAAATTTTATGGCTCAACGATTGGTGTTAGACGATCCGCCACATTATTTTAAAGTTGGAGGCTCTTGAGGAGTCGTGCATCTACGTGTAATTCGTGATTTGATCAACGATTGATGTTGAGCGCATGTATAGGAAGGCCATGGGGTGACGCACAATAATAGAGGGCCGTGCATTCTTTGTACTGGTAACCGACGGGTATTGTGGATTGTTGATCTTTGGAGGGTGGCTTGCGAGCGCCAAGTCCTCGATGGAGTGGCGGGCGGAGTGCTCAGGGGCACCATATAAATCTGTCAGCATAACAATTCTCTATTTCAAACTGATCCTTACCATTCCATATAGTTATGAACTCCATGAATGTTTTCTTCAACTCCTCTATTTGTTTCTGAATGTTAGGACATATTTCACCCTTGCGACTTGCCATCTTATCCCTCTTCACATGTATCCTCTTCATCAAGATCTTTCTGATTGCCTCCAACGATCAATTATTAGCAAACTTCTAGGCCTCTAACATTGCATTGAATCTTTCACACATGTTATTCAACAATGTATCACCTTTTGAATTTGTATTGAAAAAATCTCTACACCAATGTGAAACATGTCTCTATGCAATCCATTTGAAAGAAACTTTATATGTTCCAGCCAAATGTCTTATAACTTTCTCAAAATCTACAATCCTTGAAGTTCTAGAAGCTTGTCACAAAATGTTGTTCAGCGTCAACCCTCCATCTGATAACTTGAAATTACAGTACAATTTCATGA